CCTTGCGAGATAACGTTTATTTGTACTCGTAAATCGGGAAAAAATACTTCAATAGTCTACGGTTTCTAAGGGGAAATATTGGCGAATTCAATTTATTGCATCTACTTTAACTGCTCCAGTTTCATTGATTAAAAATTTCCTCGTATTCTTTATGGAATTAATTGTAATGAACAGTTTATGTACAATAATACGGTAAAAGTAACAGCCAATACATGTCCCATTGCTGGGCAAAGGCCTCCTCTATACAAAGAGTATCAGGGCATAGTCCACCACGAGGCCCCACTGCGGATTGGCGGACTTCACATATTTTCGAAATATATATTTTTTTGTTATTATTTCGAAAATATGCAGGTTTCCTCACGATGTTTTCCTTCACCGCGGAGCACGTGATAAGTCAGCACTTAAAGTTAAAAACTTCATTGGTGCCGGCACCGGGGATCGAACTCAGGTTGCTCGAGTATATTGAATTAAAGGCGACGCCCGGACACTGAGCTATCACGGCTCAATAATACGGTGTCGAGTATTATTAATACAGATAACAAGTCGGAAAATAATTGTGTCACTCTACCTTATGACTTAAGTCAGTTCAATATGTATGTCACATTAAAGTTGAAAGTCACACAGCTTTCGCAAATATATCACGTGTGTTTGCGACGCCCTTCATGGCTCAACACAACGCAATCATCAAATAGAATGTGTTTGCCGATGTTATCGTTAAAACATCGACAGCCCGAGCTCTTTACTCTGTTCAACACTTAAAACGTAAACCACGCTGGCCGTTATAAAGGGAAATATTTACAAAATAGCGGGACCTGTCCGAAAACTCGCGGAGCGCGGGCAAACACGAACGTTCCGTGCTAAGCAAATGTTTTCGCCCAAAGAGGGAACACGGCCAAAGTCAGGCGCATGATTAAACGTCGCCCCGCTCAGAACTAACAACTGGTTATTGCGATGATGATGCAAAACATTTAAAAAACAAAAACAGAGAATTATGCATTCAAATTGGACACGCATGATGCGTTTCGGGAACCCGTCATTTCGGTAGCCGCAGCCGAGTGAATAAAAGCCATTATTAAAGAAAGGGTTGGGTTTGGGCTTTTGTGGCTGACAGAGTGCACCCGAGAGGAGAGAGAATATTTCCAAAATGGCTGCCCAGGTCCGGCGTCCGTCGCGTTGAGTGATTGCTGATGCGCTGACGGAGGCGTCTAATTGCGATGTACGTTCTCTCGAATCACTTCAAAAGATTCCAGATAATTGAACCTGATAATTGAACTTTATTACGGATCCACCTCTGTGGGCGGATTTTTGAGAGGATTTTCGGCCGATGGTAATGCATTTCGGCAGCCAATTTCTATGGCCTTCTCTGAATAGAATATTACTGGATACAGTTAGCCTCCACTGAGCATATTATTGATTTATAAATCTTCGAAATATTTTTACTCACTGCATGGACATTACGTGTCATAAGAGTTACTTTACTCAAAAGGCGTAATGGAAGATCACGAGCGATCTGGGTGGTGCTTCCCCGGGCAAGACCTGTGGTAGGGCCACGCAACAGTCTTCGCTGTTGCAAGAATGGGAAACTATTTCGTTGGCAATCGCAGCAACCTATTGAATGGTTTTAACATTCAAGGATCTTCGATCTAATAAAATCGCAACACGTGTTTCAATTAAATATACATTACCTAAACAGTGACAATTTTAGTTATGTTTTTTTATTAAGAAATTTTAAGTTCCAAATATTCATTACATTCGTTTCCGTCAAAGAGATATTGTTTATGTATGAAAATATACACTTGATATTAATAAAATTCTCTTTAGTTACGCGTGTGTGTGCGTTTTTTCCGTATGTGTTTATGATAATATAGTGAGTGCCTTAGTGCTTTTTATATGTGTGGTTATAACGTAGGGTTTTTTATTAAATCAACGTCAGAAGTCCATTAAAGATGGGCCCGGCCGCGGAGCAGGGGCCATCAATCAATCGCAAGATACAGATACAAGCGAGAAACTAAGAAAAGGGCCTAATTCTGGACACAAAGCTTGTTTCATTTTGGAAGTGGTTTTCCAAAACGTTTATAATAATATGCGCAATTACCTGCCATATTCATTAACAACTTCTATATTTCTTACGCTTATTTAATAAAGCGTGTAATGACGTTTATTATCATTTAATTGGCAAAGCAATGGTTGAAAGAAATGACTGTAAATCTTTAAATGTTGATGTTCAATTAGTTATGAGAAATGACACCAAAACCAATTATGATATGGTTAAATCATCACATTTAATAGTAGCTATAATGACTATTGTTTTAAACATGACACAGCTATTCACACATCTCTAAGATAAGTTTCTATTAAGAAAATTTAAACAATAAATCATTATTAAATTATACGAGAAATTCTAGACTTTACCAAGAAACCTTCAGCTCAATCTATTTCGCTGAGGGAATTATTATTCGTGGCGAGGAACCCTAAACTTCGATATTGTTTTTAATATGTCTCTGTAATGTAAAGGGCAGCGTTCTCAGACGTGGCGCATTAATTTCCTGTCGCTGAGGGTTGGAAATTAATTTTGGGCCCCAATAAAAGGAATCGTTTTAAATTCAGTTACAATGTAGCGGTGATGCGTAGCTAACAATTACGGCTCGGAGAAAAGAACGACCGAAGTAATGGATATATGTAATTTGTCGTGTGCCAGCGGTGCTCAAAGTTCAAACACTTTGGATACGATTGTTACACGTGTTTATACATATAAACAGCCTTTTAAAAGATACTTGCATGCCCGCACATGTGTAGTGCGCATGGCGGAATCAGTAAATGGGAAAAAAATCGCATTTTGTTTGTGAATAAAATTTACAACAAACCTCACCGCACAAAGTCAACACGAATGTAACTATTGGCTATCAAATGTATTTATTTACAAGAAATATCAAATTAATCCATAAATATAAGCAACATTTGTGAGTCATGTCCCTCGAAACATGTTATTTTTATTATAATAATAAAATAATTTGATTTCAGGTTGAAGCATAACGAATTTCGATATGAAGCGGGAAGCCGGTATTTATTATCTGTGCTTCGTCATAGCAGCCCTCGATCCTTTTAAAGGCATTATCTAGGCAATGTTAGAGGGCATTAGAAGGCGCGTTGAAAAAAAGGACGGCTTTTCGAGGAGCGACTTAAAAATGCGGCGCGGGCTCCGAGCCCGTTAAAATGTTCCCGCCATAGATTTATTACGTACCAGAGCTTTCTTCCCTTCTTATTGAGAGGGCGTAATTGTGTGGATTTATGTACACCATCGCCGGTAGGCGGAACGGATCGGATTTAATTGTTCATTTTGATTGCTTTCAATACGATCGCGGTGGACCCTCGAGTGTTTATATCATTTATTGAGGATTACTTCGTCGTTAAAATTTACTTCGGGTGCGGTTTTCTTGCATGTTCTTATTGTGTTCTTGTTACAATTACAATAACTTGCCACTTGTCCCGGATTCACCTAGGTGCAACTCCGCTTTTACCGTCGATACCTCGAGTAGATGTAGTGATATAACTTTTTATTTACCCCCAAAAAAAATTCGGGTATAAAAAAAAAAAACTTTTTATTTTAAACTTTTCAGAAACGTCTGTCGCAAAAAAAATAAGATAAAGAAAATAAAGAGTTCCGACTTAGTTGACGTTCCAGAGATTACCCCCATATACAAACACAAAATTCGCGCACTTTCCGTATAATAATCGTTGAATTAAGTAATTACTAGTCATTAACTTGTATACTATGAACAGATCTAATCGGCATTGGAATAAATACAACGTGAACCCGGGAACATTACCCGTACAACCACTGTGAAGGAATAACCCTCTGTCCTTGAGATTCCTTTTTGTCCCGGGTTGGCCCATAACGTCGGCTCCCCGCCGCCTCGTCACGCTCCAGATCAGAGACGCGCATTAGATAAAATCGAATGTCGTGAGTAATCCTCAAAACCCGATGCCACACGGAACGCTCATTTCATGCGTTAAATACGTCCTGTGTACAAACAAAACTACTCATAGCTTCGACTTTAGACGTAAAAAAATATTAATTCGGAGCAATCCGAGATTTTATAAAGAAGATCAAAAACAGGATAGACGGTTGAATACGCAATTTACAAAGAACACGATAGACACTGTTAGTATGATGTTGTTACAAATTTAGCATAATTAAATTTACTCATCGATATATTTAATGATGTTTGTTGAAAGACAAGAGATGTCCCTTCTTTGGAATAATAAGCCAGCATAATAAATGGACCCGTTGTATATTGATGCTCCTAAATTCAATTCATTTTAAATTCAACCAAGTCCATCAAAACTTATTTTGTAGTTTAAAAGCGGTACGTTTATCCTACTGAAAGAGTCACTGATTAACTTCAGGTCAAGGTCTTCCGATAAAGTATCATAATCAAGAAAGAATGATTTGGAAAGAAAGAAACAAACCCTAGTGAGGGGTTTCAAAAGGCAATATTTTGACAAAATCGTCAAAGGAAACTACGCACTTTATTACCTTGAATCGAGAGTTATTAGATCAACGTCCTCTTTTGAAATTTTGATGTGAAACAAATTGAGTGGAAATGAAAGATCTTCATTCCTACCGACGTAGAAAGAACAGTTATGTCAGAATAAGTACCTGCTTAGAATGAAGGGGATAACAGGGCCTAAAAGGGGAATCTAATTTATTTCCGTGCAGCTTTTCGAAAGACGTAGCTCTCTTTGGCAAACTCGTAAAGTTAGTTCGATTTTCTTGCGACCTGTCGCCGTCGCTTTTGCTTACATTGCCGCTTTAGGCCTCGGCGTCCCGTTTTTATTGGCCCCGTTGAATGATTCAAGTCCTTCGCGACAATGTAGGGAATTGATGCGACCTTTGTTTAACGAGCGCAATTTGTGCTCTCAATTGTGTCGGGACTAATTTAACCTGGTCGTTCTGTGAACGCTGTGATGCCTACATCAATACATGCAAATTGAGTTCAATGCTCCTAAGCATTGAACTCAATTTGCATTGGCGCGATCGTAGGTGAGTTCCATCGACGCGATCTTGTGCCTGATGAAATTGGAATCATGGTGTTTAACGCTAGTACAGTCAGCACCGGCAGTTTTTGATACAGTGATCGGGAAAAGTTATAACCAAGGTGAATGAATAGGAACTTATCAAGTGCTCGATCTGGACGGTGTGCGTGACGCAGTGCGCACGCGCGTAGCTCATGCACGCACGCGCAGTCCTTGCTCCGTGAACTTTGAGATTGTCGTCCATCACAAACGCAGCGATATGTCACTTGCGCGGTCACCGGCGCCTTTCTAAAGTTTTCCCCTAGCAGTTAGATAAGCGTTGCGAAAGTTGCGATTTTATCTGTCACATTTAGAATGTTTTACTTGTGATACGATTTCGAGACGTGATAATTCAGCATTAGGGGACTTGGAACCCAGTTTTTTTCGTTAGTTGATACTAGTCATGCGATTGACAAACTCTCATTTTATAGATGTTTAATTGTGTTCGTATGTAGAAAAAATATATCTAATGTTTAGAGACGCTTTTACACAGAGTAACCACGCAATAACCAGAAACGTAAGATTTAGACGTGTTAGAAGCAGCAACTATGAACATTGCCTTCTATTTCACCTTTCATTAAATGAAACACAAAACTTCTGGGCACGAACATATGACGATCGCAAGAAGATCGCGAATTACGTAAACCTGAACGGGGGGAAATAACGGAGATTCCTCCAATTATTAACGCGCAATTAAATCGCGGTGCACCAGACGGCCGAAACGTCAGCGTAATCGATTCGAAGAAGCCCGTATCGTAGCGTACACGGCCCGCGCCGCGGTGTCTCAACGCGAGGAGGAAAAAATGAACGTCGCCAACCATCTTAAAGACTTGGGAACGGCCGAGGGATATGTGAAGGATCTCTTTCTTCACACACTTCCCACGTGCACCTCTCGTTGACATGCAAGACCATGTTGTTTTCAATCGAATATATTATCGTTTTGATGAGTCGTCGATCAGATACTCTTTTTGTAATTGTTCCTAGTTCAATTACATTCGTCAAAGATGATGTTCAAGTATAATTCGGAATTGTCACTAACCTATAACTTAGGCAATGCGTACGCTTTAATTACCACATATCTCGTTTTCATTGTTATATATGGGTACCTATATTATTCAAGAATAGACAGAACACCTCCATATTCGATACCTTACAGAAATTAAAAATAAAGATTCAGAAAAAGAATCTATTAATCTAAAATTGATAACGTAAAAGAGCATTTTTAGAAACACAGAACACAGAGGATTTTCGTATAAGCTAATTATAAAAAAACTTTCATAATAATTCTATGATTGTGAAGCCATAATAACGCATAGTCTGTGCAATAAACTTGATGGGCTATCTCTAATTATTCGCTAGCAGCGGGTGTACGACATTTCCTGTGGTAACCGCAAGTGCGCCGCATTTAAAAGCAAGAACAAGGCACGGACTCGTAACACGATCCGTTGACTATTGTACGTGGTGAGTTGGGCGTTGGCTTCTAAGCGTTCGCAGACCGTGCGGCTTATTTGCTACAGCCAGGCGTACCTAAAGGAACTCTCTTGTTTACGGCATTTCATTCGCACAACAATTGGAAAAAATCCAATTTTCAAAAGAAAGGATTTTTTCTATACTATATCCAGGAAAATTATTTCACAAACTTTTAGTCAACTAAAAACAAACAAAATCTCAAAATTTTTGAAATTTCACCGACATTTCGATACTGAAATGTTTACACAAAGTTTGAAAAAAAAATTATAATTTATGCATTCCGGACGGTTTAAAGTTACCTACGCTGCAATATTCGTGAAAGACCAACACATGGATTTTACGGACGCGTGCCACAGATGTGATCAACTACCATCTTTATTTACACACGGTGATTGCATCTGATTCGTTAAATTTGCGAACGTATAAAACTTAGCTATGGTTTTTAAAACTTCTGTTTTTTGCCATTGCTCAGCAGATTATCAAGTGTTGTTTTCATATTTAACATCAATTATAGTCATCATCTTCCTGCCCTTATCCCACGGAGGTGGGCAATATTTTTACGACCGGCCGCCCGACTGACGACTTGACCCTATTAGGGAAACAAACAAATCCGTGGGTCACTCAAAAACTTGTCCCGTGAGGGGGAGTGACCCACGGAATCGAACCCACGACCTCCGCCGCCGAATCCAACAGCTTCGTAACGGCGCCACCGAGTCATCTAATACCAAAACAAAGTCTCGAAGAAATGTCAGCCTTGAAGTCTTAAAATAAGTTAATGGACCGGTGCACATGTTACGTGTCGAAACATTATATTAAATGAAAATGAAAAACATCAGGCATCAATTTAAGCTTGAAAAGAATACGGAGGACTTGGATGAATGGCCACGGGCATGTGGTAAGGAAAATTAATAAGGAATACTTTAAGTTCCAGGAAATTTTACGAATTACACGAAAGTGAGTACCCGAAACGAAAGCATAAATAAGGCTGATGGGATTACCTCTCGGCCTCCGCCATTCGCGCATGCTAATGTAATAATGAACAAAGTTTGGGACTCTCGGTCGCGTTGCACACCGTCCGACGGGATCCCGAGCTGTCCTTTTTTGGATCTGTCAATTTACAATCCTATCAGATCCCAATCGGTGTAATTACGGCAGACAGGATGGGAGCTACGGGCGGTCAAAGAGTATTCATTTACTCGCTCGACGATTTACATTGCGTTATAAAATTTAATGACCAATATGAAATTATTACACTGTACATCACGGGGGCGTGGCGTGAGTAATTTTTTTTGATAATTTCCATTAACTTGTGCGTAAATTTTCATAAATGAATACGATGTGGAAAACAGAATAACTATGCATCAGATCGATCCAATATTTATATATTTGATAACGCCATTGATACTTTTTAACTTTTACTAGGTCTAGGTGTAAACAAACAAAATTATTTGTTGCATATATTTCTTGTGACTCTTAGTAGTGTTTTCTATATAGTGTTTATAGACTTTTTTTATAAATTACCACATGCTCAGGGTCGATTTTATTGACTCCGTCTAAAATGTTGGGCCAACTTTAGGATCTTCTCTTGTTATTTCTTATGAAATTAATAATAAATTCAGACACATACATAGTATTTCATTGTCCAACTATGTTAGAAGATCAAGGGTTATTTTTTATTTATGAGGCTTGGATCGAAATGAGGGTTGATTCAAAACTCCAAACGCACACGACAGTCGCCTCTGTAGCGCTCATGTTATTTTTAGTCTGTGGCTATTTACTATTCATATTCCGTCGTCGATTACTACGCGGAAGGGATCAGGTAATAACAAAGCGGGCCGTAACCAATCCGGTAGAGATTCCGGGCCATTAGCGGGCAAGGATCTTACCGGGGCCATTCGTCCCTGGTGAGGTGGGGCCCGGGGACAATTAGGCCGCGGCTGCTGTGGGCAACTCGATTGTACATTATTGACCCTCGGTAATTGCTTACGCCGTTGAACTTTATCTCGTTCGTCAAGATTAAGAATGTTTTTACGAGTTTTTTTGTGATGTTTACGGAGGAATGTCTCGAACCTCGATTCATCGTAAAACTACTGGGTGTGCTTTATTTTTCTAGTATTGTGGTCAATACTTGATGGTTGGAAGATGTTGACTGGGGCTAAGCTATTGACTTAAGCATCGAGGGTCGTGGGTTCGATTACCACACGGGACAACTATTTGTGTGACCCCCAAACAATAATCCCGGATCTGGGTGTTTGTTTTCCAAGGAGGGTTGACGTCAGATAGGCGGCCGGTCGTAAAAAACATAGATAAAACAACATTCACATGTTGTGCCAAAAAAAAAAAAGAAATGTGATGTGACTAGTTTCTGAACAAATAAAGCTTTACTTTATCTGTACTAATCCTGCCTTATATAACGGAAATAACATCGGAAAACTATCAAATATCGTTCACTTTATTTGGTTTATTTAAACCGCATTTGCAATAAATATGCATTACATCTGTATGCAGAACATCAATGCATACGTATCATCCGTTTTGTATTTAGTGTTAAAAATGCTTATTTTTTTTCAAAAGTCCTCTGTTGATGCAAGTGGTAATAAAAATAAATTAACAACTATCGTTGAAACCAGTGAATTCCTGAGCCGTATTCGGCACACAGATACCATAGTTAAGAAAGTGTTTCGTAAAGTAGAAATCGATAGACAAGGCCACGCGTCCCAAGACATAATAATTGTTCAGCGCGTGCAACACACAGACAACAATTGACAGCTTGCGCGTCTGACCTTATAAGCGACACAAAAACTGAACGTAAGTCATCCCAACTGCTTCATCAAATAATCGATCAACTCACCTGCCATCTTACAAGTGCACGTGTCAATTCTGAGTGCACAAAAATGTCTTATTGTACGTCCGTATGTGTTGGCCGAAAATTAGAAGAGTTTAATAGTGCTGACAGAATCGAACTTTTTTCCCGTTTTAAGTTTAACAGTTACGTACAAACGAAATGTAAATATTATATACTGTCTACAATTCGTGTCTGAAAATAAATCGGATTGTTAGGGTACGGATACATCTTACCAATGGCTGAGGGGCGTAAGTGTTTAAATTATTATTGTTTTTTACAACAAAGTGTCTAATTTTTGTATTACTAGTGTAAATTTACTTTGTTATTGCAAGTAAATACATAAACGTATAGAAAATTATGAGTATCAAAGTCGTTCCCTTTGACGAAAGTAACGATATACCTCGGACGGGTTACGGACGAGCGCACGGAACTTTGCGGCGATTAAGTCGGCAGCGTCGACATGAGTTGAACTCTGAACCGGGGCATTTGTTTGTTGGTATGATTGAATGCAGATATTTCACAATGGAGCGCGCGGATCGTGAGCGGCCTTCGCGCCGCAGACGCGTGGGAACACGGCGGACGCGAAATTATCTCAATCCACAGCGCACTCGCGCCATTTCATTACGGTGACGTTTCTGAGGCAATAGTTTTTAATTCGCCCACGCAGCCTAGTTTCGGTCGGTGTTTTTGTATCGCCTTTCAATTGACAATAGAGACATAGGCTATAATGGAGAGCAATAGTTACTCATCTTTGGGTTATTACCGTATTGATTGAAATGAAAAATGAAAATTGACATCCCGAATAGCGTAGTGGGTAGGGTACCTGCCTCCTGCGTTAGGGTGTGGGTTCGATCCCCACTACTGGAAAAATATTGTTTGATGAACATAGCGTTTTTCTAATGTCTGGGTGTTTATATCTGAATGATGTGTATTTAGGGACGAAAGAAAAGTACACTTAAGTATGTTTATTAGATATCTAGTACCCATAGTACAAGCGTCGTTTAGTTTGGGATTAGTGAGCGTTGTAAAAATGTGTATGAAATATTTATTATTATTTATTTATTAAAATGAAAAACAGATATCACACGGACGAAGCCGGTGGCGAGGGTTAGTTATCTATTAACTACGCGGAACGGAGCTGTTGTTGCCCTTCCCACCTGTCGACGGAGGGCGAGTTTTTTCGGTGCACATTATTCTGGAATCCTTCAAGCTAACTGTACTGGCAGGACGTGGGGGCGTCTAAAAATATCAATGGCGCGGCCGAGCACGCGCACTCGACTGACATTTGTTTTGGCGCGCACCTGCGCTTGCGCAAGCGGCCGTTTCCCCCCCAAGTCCAACGCGTCGACCGCCTCGGGGCCCGTAATTAATTTTAATAGCGGACCACATAATTGCATCGCCGGCATTGTTTGTACAAAACACGAATTACATGTATCATGTATATCTCTAGTTTCCTAACGTCCGTGTATGCGACACATTCAATTTCAAATTTGACCGTTAGTGAGTACGCAGTAGGTACACTCTTTCGTGGTAGGAAACTGCATGCTAAACCTTATGGCAATAAAGTAACTTAACGTGTCGATCGGGTTTACAATGCGTTTTCAATACTTCCGGGCGCTGTAAGGTTATTACAAAGCATGAGTGCACGCTGTGGGAGTTGCGTGAACGTGTCCCGGCAAAATGAGCTTGAACCGGGTGACCATAAGTCTATCGATTGAACACGAGATATTTAATTTATCCTCTAGTTTATATAACAGAAGTTGGTAGAACATAAGTCATACAGACGTCATTATAAATACAGTTGAAACGTATATGACGAAGGCTATTTAATCATGTTTATAAACCAAACGTATACCTTGTAGCGTAAATATTTAGCGTCAGCACGAAGTGAAATGGCTTTCGGAGAATAGTCCGGGACGTTCCAGAATTATGGGAGGCTGATGTTCACTTCTAATCTGGGATTAGATCCATCGTCGGTGCCTTTGTGCGGTGCGCACGCGCATCCTAATCGCAGACGATACGCAATCAGCGGCCGCCGTAATAGCAGCTCTCTCGCCGATGCATCTCGGTGGGATGCAGCGGCGCAGGATTGACTCAGCGCTTCCCAAACTTCATTCACAAGTTAGCTACTCAATCAACTAAAATGACCGAGCAAATAATAGCCTTGGGCGCTGCACTCGATGATGGTTTAATGAATCAATGATTACCCATTTAGACGATTTGATTAGGTTTTATGATTTTATATAGTTTTGACGAATACGACCAGCATATATACGACAGTAACGACCCAAGTTTTGAAAAAGAACATTGTAATTTAAACGTCATATGTATATGTTGATTTGGTTACTGGAGATAGAATTTTGAAGTTAATAGGTATTATGAAGATAATGACAAATGCCTATCAGTAAACAAATCTACCGATAGGTAGAATATTGAAACAGGCCGTGAAACAAAACACGGTTTATTGTGATCTTTATTGGAATATTGTCATTTAACAAAACAAAGAATGTAACGAGTTCCAAGCTCACACAGTCCAGCAAGCGATTCCACGGAGATGGTCCGCAGAGGATTGGCTAACAAGGTCTAACCTCCGAATGACATTATGCAATTACGTGGGAATCGAGCGCGGCGGGCGGGGCGTGGTGCCTTTTTGCAATTGCGCATCGAGTCCGATGTGCAGGCCGCAATCGGGGATGAGTTGCCGCGACTATTGTAGAGGCTTTTTTCCGCGAAGTGTTATCGACCGCCCGCAAGCGGAGAATATTAATGTGCGGTGCCATGGAGCAGCATAAGACTTTTGCGCAAGAGACGATTGCGCCCCATAGAATCAACAGGCACTTATAGGTCTATTGTTTGTGATTAGTCGTCGCAATTAAACGATATGTAACTGGTCTATTATAGAAATCTGTTTTATTTAATCGCTTACTGAATATTTGTACACCATTTTTTTAAATTAGTATCATTTATTTTTTATTTACTCGGAATACTTTTAGTGCATTTTGCTGTCGTTTTGTTATCTACGCAGGACAAATATGGATCGATAGATTATTTCACTGCTACAAAATTATTCGTTACAAGTTTAATGCATAATTAATAAATCTGTGAACAATATTGTCAACTGCCGGCAGTTCAGAATTAATACGGAGCCCTTGAAGCACAGAGCAGAGCTCATATTTCAGAAAGTTTGGTTGAAATTACGCCAACAGCCGTTATGCGCTGAGTTATGAATTCGATTCCCGATTGGGATACAAATCTGTGTAATCCGCAACTAGTTCTTCCAAGTCTATTTATGTTGCAATACGTACGTAATTTTCGTATCCGTGGAATCCGAGAAAAGAAAAGCGTCAATAACAGAACATATTTTACATAAGTTAAACGTTGGTAATAGATCTATTGTTTATTACGACAGACGCATGGATTGCCCGTCAATCGAAAACATACTGGCGCATAATTCTTCTTGCGAACCGATTTATTACATACGCTCGAGCACGCACCTTCGCTCCATCACTCGTGACCGAGTGTACATCACTCAGCGGTATAACGTTGCTGCAACTATTGCACATGGCGAATATAAACCATCAATACGCAAATCACATTTCTCGCTCAACGGAAACACATTTGTACTGCCCTAGCATACGCCCGCCACTCACAAGGGAGCCCCGCAAGCACACAGTTTTCAGTTTTATAAGACAAAATACATGTGTATACTTATTAAAAAAGAAACGTGTGTGTACTTATGTACGCACGTATGAAAAATATGTACAAAATTCCCCTATGCCAGTAATTCTTTGTTTGTGAAGTAGATATTAAGTACAATTGATAGCGGTTTAATTAAATAGCTTGGAATTATAGGTAAATGTTAAAAAGTTGTTATTGGTTGCCATGGTAATATCGTGAAGATGGTAGAAGTTGGTCGCTTTGCAACTAATTTCATTATGTCACTGTCGGTGTGCGCGCTCATCGAAAGAAACTCTCTTTTTTTCTAAGCGCGTCAAAAGACGCAAACATCGGAGCGGAGACTACAATCGTTTCCCAAAAACTTTATTTGATAATTACAAATCAATGTGTGCGACAATGGCGAGCTATGCCCATAAACTCTCCGGAGTCTTATGACCCGACATAGAAAAACCATAGCACCGCTGACATCTTAAACCCTAACGTCAATAGATACAAATTTTTGTATTTGTATCTATTGACGTTATTGCATCTATCTATCTATTTGTATCTATTTTGGTTGTACAAATTTTACTGAACATATGGTTTTCTAAAACGAAAGTCTATCACCATACAATGGGTCCATGTGAAACAATATTGAGTATTATTTTTTACACACACACAGCCACGCCACTTGGATTCCCAACTCTGATAGTTAGACTTTTTTATGTGAAAAATTGTCGGACCAGCTGGCAGTTCACCTGATTTTAAGTGAAAACCCATAGATATCTACAACACGTGAGGGCTTTCGGATACGTTAACAAGTTTTAAAAAATAGGCAGTGGTTACCTCGATCACCAGACGAAACGCGAAAGAATAATAATTTTTTTTTAATGTGAAAAGTTGCCAAGCGAGCAGACGGTTCACCTGATGGTAAGTGAATACCACCGTGGACATCTGCAACACCCGAGGGTTCCAGATGCGTTGATAACCTTTTGAAAGTTGGGCTCCGGCCATCTCACACAGACGAAACGCGAAAGTATTATACTTCCACTTTACGCCGGTCTTCTGTGAGGTCGTGGTACTTACCCCGACAAGCCTGCCCATTCGTGCAACAGCCGAGGCTGCTGCGTGGCCCTACCACTGTTTCACCACTTCACTTTCACTTCAGGCTGATCTTCTGCGATCTGTACTTCTGTACATATACGGTCTCGCCTGCCCATACGTGCAACAGCGGAAGCTTTTGGGTGGCCCTACCACAGTAAAGACGATGCCAACCGCTATACTACTGAGTATAGAAAATATTTTATAACAGAAAGATCAATGTTACATAAGATGAAGATTAAAGAAATTCATTGCATCATACATTTAACGCGTCGTACCGTTCGCGTAAGCTGGCCTCCAAGTCGGGCCGTACCCCGCGACCCCAGCCCAGGTCGCCGCTGGCGGATTGATCGATGGGACCTCGTGGTAAAATATCTCAATTCATTAGCCGCGGTCCGCCGCCGGCGCGGCTGTCGGGCGTGTCCGAGCGGCTCTGACGCCGGGCGGTTGGAACGCCCGTTAGTTTGTCTTTTACCAGACTGGTTTGGGTATCGAATGTCATAAATAAAGGTCCTACAGTTTTCGGCTTTTTTTGGATGTATATATATATATATATATATATATATATATATAAAAGTCAAAATTACACTAAAAGCTGATGGCACATGGCCTCGAAAACGTATTTAAAATTTCGATTCGATTTGACCGAATAGTCGGTTTTTTTGTTTGTTACTTTTAACTCTGAATATACATATAAGAAAAACTAACGTCACCGCCAATAAAAAAGGAAATAAAATTAATTTCAAAACTTGTATTTATTTATGTAGTAGCATTCTTAGAATTATTTATATAGATATATCTATATCAATGAGAACACAACAACATAAATACTATGTATATATTATCTCTATGACAACTAACTATTTGTTAAATAACATTATGAATAAATGATGCCTTAATTTTTGCCACTACTGAAGGGATAAATCGATTTCAACCACGTTTGCGATACAATGGAATGGAACTTTTTTTTTGCATATATAAATATTCAAAAAGATATTTTTATTAACGATTTGTCATCGTTGATATATTCGTCAAAAATCGTCGGAAGAGAGTAAGGCCACGGTGGAAGGCGCGGAGCACGGTTCGCGTGCAACTTTTACTTTTGCCGGTGGGGACGGGGGGCGGCGGGTAGGGGGGGGGGGGGCGCCAAAGGTCAGCCGCCGACTTCTCAACAGGTGTCCCAGTTAGGGATGAGCTCTTGTAGAACACACGGGCGCGAATTTCAGAAGCGCCCGTTGATTGAACCGACAACCGATTTTTTTAGAAACACTTTACAAAGTATTAGCATTAAATAGCACCAACACTGTCCTTTTTCAGTCATTATTTGTAAACGTTTCATGATTAGGAAAAAAAAATGTTTTTCATAAAGCCTTTAACTAACGTATTTTAATGATTATAATAAAAAAATTAATATATAATAATAATAATCATATTTTTTTTTATGTGTAATCTAAATCGGCAAGAAAATACCAAAGAAGAGATCGCTGACTTGATGACGTCAAATACGCCAGTTCATCGGTGAGCACAAATATAAGAAACTTCGAACCCAGAGACACCGAGAACCATGATAACTTAGATCTAACTACTCAATGCGTATGGGTAGTGAAAATGCGTAAATTAACCAAAATAAATCGACAACGCTCACTGCTGGCTGGGTAAGGCCCTGCCCCGAAGCAAGCCGGCAATGGAATTTAAACAAAAATCTGTCGATGGTAGCAGTAGCATTTCAATTTGCAGGCCCGCTATCGAAGATCTGAGAGACGGACCGCAGTATTCGAAAGGGAAACCCCACCGTATGTTGCAAAGCTGCTGTTTGCATTTGCAAATTGAGCTCTTTGCCCTATTAGTTAAAAGAAACACTGAGGTCCAGTTTCTAAAATCTCCGACTCGCTAATGTTCATGATTTAAATCGTTAGGCGATACGAAAGCATTTGAAAGTGCTTGATCTAATTTCTGTCTTGGAAACGTGTCGAATTATTTGGTTGGTACATTTAGGCATCAATTTAAAAAAAATACGTTAACAAGACCGTAGAGTTTCTTGCCGGCGAAAAATCGATCTAGCTAGGTTTCATTTTTAGAAAATGTCCTTTTATCCCTGTTTTCAGGGAATGAAAAATATCATTCGAATATGACAGTAAATTTCGCCGCAAAAAAAATTTTATAATAGCTCGGTAGGTAATCGGGCGGCACCAAAACAGACGGCCGCGGTTCGTATCACGATCATTTACACACTTATTTTTTTTAACTTTTTTTTTCTATACCATATCATTTTCTTTATTTTCTTTCTCAAAATACATGATTTACCAAAAAAAAAGAGGTACTCCAGGTACTAAAAGATTATTAGCACAAAAAAGAGAAATGAGATCAACAGTGCAACAGACAGATCGTCCATTTATAGACCTTGGTGGTATGTGCCTCATATTCGATCTTGTATTTCGATCGGTCGGTTGTGTAAATTGGCAGCCCGAGAAATAATTAGGCACGACGATTCGTAACCATTTCTCCCTTATATTTTCGGCGACCGTGACGTACATATATGGACATGCCCGGATTGATTTCACAATACAGTTACGTTATTAATTAGAGCGTCGGACGCGATACTAGTTTTTTCACGCGATCCCACTCGGGTGACCAACACGCGCGGTAAAAACTATTCCGTGCTGCATGCCTTAATTGATTAATTACCTAATCGCTGATTACATCGCTCGGACCTAGGGCTAAAGCTATATTTTTTTTAAAAGCGTTCACTGAATATTTCAAATAAACAACATTCTGTTTTAAAATGCGATAGATCATTGGATTAAAAGACCGAATTGTTGAAAATTTTTGGGCACAATAATTTTAAAATTAATGGAATAAAAGCATCCGTCACTAATAACTGCGTCCATAAAGGTTATGTATTCATATTAAAGATCGTCTTTAAATATTAAGCGCAGGTTACACATCAATTTGTTGCTGTATGTGCGATTTTAAAAAAGTCACGGCCAAGGTTAAAACGTCACATTATTAACGTGAAATAGCAATAAAAAAAATTCAAGGTTTCCTCTATATGGACGATTAAAAAAAAAACACCGCTTCGGGGATAGCTAGAGTAGCGAATAAGATAATGCGAATACAATTTTCGTATAAATCTCAACATTTTTTAACAAAATTTTCTCGACCGCCTTGAATGTGAGAGTATTGGAAGGTATCGATTATCGAGAAATGAAAATGAAATGTTTATTGTTCTTAAAACGAACGCGTCTGCCTTTTTACAGTCATTTTCTTTCGTTTCGCTGAAGTGTAACTTCCGACAAACAGGGTGTAGGAAAATAATATTTTCTCCGACCGCGAAATATTATGGACGGCAGTGCAATTTTTTAACTACTTCATTAAGTTAAAAAAAATGCATCGCCATCAAAGAGCATTCATATTTAAGTACTGTAATGTTTTTTTTTTTTTATGGGAAAAAAGCAGCAAACGAGCAGGAGGCTCACCTGATGGTAAGGGATCACCGCCGCCCATGGACATCTGCAACAGCCAACACCCGAGGGCTTACAAATGCGTTGCCGGCCTTTTAGGAGTGAGTACGCTCACGTATTATCAATGGCGAACAGGAGTTAAGACCCATTTACACGGTGCAAGTTTCTTGCCTGTTGTATACAATTAAATTGAAGCAATAAATGTGTTGCATGGTCTAAACAACAAATGGTCTAACAAATTATTGCGCGCAATTTATTGCATTCAATTATTGCTCTTGTATGTACAAGAAAATGGCATCGTGTAAATGGGCCTTTACTCGTATGATTTTGCAGAGCATGCAGGACTTACGCGCACGATTAAATTATGGTAATTGTTGGCAAGTCAACGAAGTAGGTATGTACGTACCTTCACATGGAACTAGAGTACACGCACACAAAAAGTAAAAGTGTAAACAAGGCCGGGCGAGCGTTTTACGAATGCCTAATCGAGGAACGCCCACGCGGCGATAGCCACCTGAAGCTTTCTACTCGCGCTACGTTTTCCGCCTGCGAGTGCGGGCTGCCAGTGATGCCAAATTAAGAGCTTTCTTCCTAAATTTAGGAAGGAAAAGATTACACTGGAAGGGGTAAATTTATTTGTGAATATTTTGAGAGATTAAATTTTATTCCTCTCTCTCTTGGGGGTGCCCTATTCAATCGGATGTCGGCGACCACCTCACGGAAGTCTTCCCTATTCTGCGCCAGTCTGCAAAGACTGGCGGCTTCCTAGATGTGTGTCCATTTTTGTTTTAATAATTGAAAAAAACTACACCGGACTAGTACTAAAATTAAAAATCAAATTTATATAGTCTTATTGATTGATAAAAGGATTCAACTTTCGCGAGATGGTGCTGCATAGATATATTTTATCTATATAATGGTGTGTTCTATATCATGTCGGACGGCACAAAGCGCAAAAACAACAAAGCAACGAAAAATTTAAATAAGTAACTAAGAAAAAAAAAAAAGAAATGGAAGGTAAACGGAAGTGTCAATGTTTTCATTTCTCGGCTTTGACATGCCTATTTTTATTTTATAACATTATCGTTATACACTGTACATATACTATGATAGACAACGATCCCTGTCGAGTGGGACATCGCTTGCTTTGACTCGGAGGTTTATTAAACAACATAGCACAGCGGTGGTTCTTACAAAAGAACCGTTTAACCCGAAGAGCGTTCAACAAAGGGCCACCACCGGCAGAAGCGCATCTCGCCGTGTAAGGGGCGACATGACGCGGATCCGAAGCCCCGCTGTCAGCGTTACAGACACAGGTTACCAGAATGTTCCAAGCCAGACGCCGTCACCCCAGGGCTCCACCGTCTCGTAGGATTTGTTTTTATAGTAGTCGAAATGTACTAAAGCATTGCCGAATACGGACCCCCTTATCGAATGGTAACGAGAAAAAGAACGAATAATGGACGCAGTTAGACTCGATTTCGTTTTTCCGTTTGATTCACTATGGACGAATCAGCGGAGCGATTGATGACCGATGTTTTGCTGTACGATTTGTTGTAACGGTCACTGTTTTGTTTCGTTTATTGCACGAAGTTGAATATGCTGAGCATTGTTTTGTTATAGGACTGAAAGAATACCTAGTAATTATATAGTTTCATTCGAAAGTTTATCGAAAGCATTAAACATAAATATTTATCTGTTTCTAGATAGGTTGAATATATATATATATAAAATCAACGCAAGAAACGACAAATTTCAAAACGTTCCGTTATAAGGATAACATACAATGTGTTATTTGCTCATTAAGTAAAGTAGTATGTACCGTGTTGGAATGGTCGTTACCTGTAACAAGAAAAACATATATTAATATTAATCAAGGTTAAATTATTTTTGTCAAAGTCTGTGCTCATTAAAATAAGAAGTCTAATATTGGCGGTAAGATAAAGCTACAAGAATAGTGTGTACTGAAAATTTTTACTTTACATAATGATTTCCTATTTCATTTTCACTGTAGCGGCATGCAGTTCTCTGTTTTGAAACGCTGCGCCCGACCTTTCATAAATTTGATCAACATGCGTATAATTGTAGACTTCTCAAGCGTATTTCACAATTTATTTCAAAACTTAGTTGCATCCTATCCATTCCCACTTGTCAGATTGTTTAATTCACATCCTTCGTCAGTACTGCCATTTGTTGTTCAAAATAATTTGGAATTTCAACGGCTGAAGCGTGTGAGCGGAGTTGATCTTGTAACAAAAATAAACAATTATAATTTTTGAGTGTTAGATCATTTTTACAACCTCGCGGTGGCTGCTTCTACTGAAGACGACCCGATTGTGAAACTATAACAACTTAAAACAATATACTCTTGAAATATAAGCCTTAACACGGTCTGCGGACGTCAACGACCATTGGTGATCAGCAAATGTTTTGTCACCGACTCAAAACAAGTGAAAATATTATTGTTAAGCTTCTGGTACATCGTGCAGCGGTATTTGATCGCTTTAAGACGTGGTAACGCTTGCTACGATGCATCTAGCCGGAGATTATTGGGCAGCAATAAATGATAATAAAGAAGGCAGGCGGTTGCGTGAGACACGCCACTTCAGCGGGCCGGAGATGCGCTCGCGAGGCTCTTCAGTTGCCGCCCAGAGATAAAGGTGATTTTATACAGAAATTCTACTTTGTAATGCATTAGGGCATAGTCCGAACACTTGTGTTGTACAAGCGCTTACATTTTTACTCTTACCAAAGTTAATACCTGGTGATTTTTTGAAGAAGAAGAAGATAGTAAGGAGCTGGCGGTTCACCTGATGCTAAGTGCATTTGCAACACCCGTACGGTGCAGACGTGTTGCCACCTTTTATTAAAGTGGGTCCCGGTTGCCTCACTCACCAAACGAAACACAAGAAGTATTCCACTAACACTTCCACTTCACGCCAGTCTTCTATGAGGTCGTGTTCCTTCCCCGGACGGACTTGCCTACTCATGCAACAGCGAAGACTGTTGCGTGGCTATCCAATAGCACCACTTAAATTAGGTACGCCTAGTTACTTAAATTAGCTCTATCAAGTTTTTTTTTAATAGTAAAGGGCATTGAGACAAACTTATCGTGTTCTAGTTGACTCAAATAGTCTTATAATAAAATAACTTGAAACAAACAACTAACAATAAACTATATATAAACTAAAACGTTACTATAAAATTGACAATAATAATATCAAAACTAAAAGTAACATATCGTTTACATTAACTGAATTCGAAATTATTAAATAAAATAATGAGAAAAGCTAAAGTTGGGAATAAGTTAAAATTCAAAATTCGTAAAGTTGCTTTCAACAACAGTATTTGGAACGTTTAAGCCTTCTTTTTAGTTTTCCTCTCGTTTTTTGGAAGGGACGCGGGCTGCGGTGGCGGTGTCGGAGGCAGCTGTCTTTCGGGCCACTTCCGCTTGAAGTAATCTATCATCGCCTCCAGGTCGACGGTGTTAGACTTCGGTTTCGGTGGGCCGGCAAACAAACTGGTCAGTTGATCCGACAGCTCCTCTTCCAGATGCAGTCCGCGTATCCTCAGTTGTTTGATGAATGGCTTTGTGTCCATCGGCTCAGGGTTCTCCTTGTGCAGCTCCATCACCATAAGCGCAATATCAACGTTTCGCTTTTTATATTTCGTCTTAGAAATAAAATCTATCCTATTCAATACTAAATCCTTCAAACTGACCTTTTCACGGGTCTTATCCGGATACACTTGGCCGTGTGTTATTTCAAGCTTTCGCTGCGATTTCATCGAAATAATTTCGTCACGCAGGGCAACGAAGTTTGATTTTACGGCCACATTGTCGAGTAAAAGGTTTTGAAGTTTAACCGTCGGCTTCAACATAGGACATAGTAAATTGAAAGCATCTTGAGGTCTCATCGGGTTCGATGACAAGTTCAGAGTTATAAGATTTGATCCTTTTTCTAAACCTTTTGCAATTAATTTCACTGAAGGACCAACTAGTTTATTGTTACTTAGATTGAGACTTACAAGGTTTCGATTACTTAGAAGTATGCGAATTGCTTTACCTACAAGGGTTCCGCTCAATGAGTTCCAGGAAAGGTCTAAATCCGAAAACCCTTTATTACTAGCTAGCTTACAACACAATCCAAATATTGAATTAGGAGATCGAATCATATTCCATGATAGATTGAGGGCATTCAGTTTATTGTTTGCTTCCAACGCCTCAGTTAGTTTATTTACTGATTCATTTGTTAAGCTGTTATAGCTTAGATTAATATTACATATATCTGCACCAAGCAGTATGCCATTAGTTAGATATTCTACTCCTTTATCAGTTAACTGATTCTTACAGAGGTTCAGTTCACGAAGGGCACGGTTTTGTGGTAAATACATAAGAAGTCGCCTGGCTCCTTCTGGCCCTATTCTGCAACCGTGCAATATCAACACCTTTAATGTTGCATTCTCTGCCAGCATTTCCCCCAAGTGAAAGCATCCGTCTTCATTAATCCAATTGTCAGTCAAGTCCAAGGTTGTAACAAATTTGTTTAATTTCAACGACATGGCTATAACTCTAAACGCCGCCTGTTGCACACCGTAATATCGCAAGTTAATATTATTCTGTAATAACTGTCGATGAAAATTACTTATTGGACATAGTCCAGACTCGTTGCATAGATGTAAGTAAAGTTCCTGACCATCATCTGGATAAATCTCTTTTGGCTCAGGGTCGGAAAGAGCTTCTTTAATGCCAGGGTCAACAACAGCCGGATAACGGTAATATGGATGTCTTAATATTGAACTTGCAGAGATAGGTAAATACTTTGTGCATATTTCTCCGCTGCCGGGATCATAAAGGCCCTCTCTGTATTTTATTCGCTTAATGCATTCTTCAGGCTTCTGTAAAATAAGCGAAGACCATTCTTCCAGTGGTGGTTCTTCAGATGAATCAATTTCATTTTCAAATATTATCTCTACATTTAAATTTCCAGTCATAATTGCAGCAGACTTTGAAGATATTATTTGTTATTAAAAAAATACTAAATTATAATATTTTGACAGTTAATAATAAAAGTCTAAATCTTTAGAAGTAACATTGAAGTTCTGTTTTAAAAAACTTGCAAATCGGGGAAAGAGACAAAATACATATAATTATTCAAAGAAGTTTCAATAACCAATATATCATCAACTATTTGAAATCGCCTATTAATCCAGTTTCACCGACTACCATGAAGTATCTGTATTTATACAATATAATAAATTAGAATGTCGTATCTCGAATTATTTCAAAATAGGGACCTATGCATCTTATTTGTTATTTGCTTCATTTTCTCATTACTGATGTTAATATTACAGTCTAATTTTTGTAAACATGAAATCAGGCTTCGAAAAATGTGGATCAGTTTGATACAAGACGTTGTGGATTACCTTTTTTAACCGACTTCAAAATGAGGAGGTTCTCAATTCGACGGTATTTTTTTTATGTTTGTTACCTCAGAACTTTCCACCGAGTGAATTGATTTTGATGATTCCTTTTTTATTTGAAAGCTGGTGCTTCCCATGTGGTCCCGTATTAATTTCATTGGACCCTGGGCTACGGAGATACTTAGGGAGCTCCCGAAAATCAATTATAAAATGAATACAGAGCGAGACATTTGTTTTTCGTTAGTATGAGCCGTCACGGGACGCCTGGCAGATGTGAAACATCGACAGTTGTGGGAAGACTAAGTTGCCACAATCTGGATCCCTATCCTGCCTATTGAAGTAGATTCATGTAAGTGGACATGTGTATATTGACCAAGATGAGAAATACGATGGAGATTGTAGCTAATCGTCTGGGCCGTGCTGAGTTAGGTAGAACTCAATGTGCAAACTCAATTAAAATGGTTGCTAAAATGTATTGAAATCATTTATCATTCCAGACACTAAGTTAACATGCCACTTCGTCATGCCAATTTACTAGGTATCACCAGTAGTAAACGTAGTGATTACATTCTCTTTGGGTATCACTGTACTTTAAATAGATTAAAATACATTTGTTTTTTACAATATGGTTAAAAATTTCACCGGGCATTTCATTGGCACCGAGATTATGTATAACTCGAATATATTGAATTAAGAGCGAGCGCCCTGATACTGATTTATCAAGGCACATTGAGTTAAAAGAAAAAATTGTAGCCCAAGATTTATATTTTTATTTTAACAATGTAAATAATAAAATATAAAAAATACATTAACATGATTCAAATATCGATGTGCGTGAAAAATACAAATGTTATAAAAAATAAAGTTCTCTAAAATATTAAATAGCTTTACAAAGTAGTATCAGTATTAAAAACTATTTTTTGTTTTTCTTTTTGCCACTCTTAGCTGGTTTAACTTCAGGTATGGGTTCAGGTTCGATTTGGGTTTCTGGTTCGGGCTCGGGAGGCGGTGTGGGTGGAAGCTGCCGATCGGGCCATTTCCTTTTAACGAAGTCCACCAAAAGGGTGATGTCGATAGTTTTCGCCTTCTTCGATTTAGGACCTGCAAAAACTTCAACTATACCGTTAACAAGGTCTTCATCCAGCACCAGTCCCGAATTTTCAATGGCAGTTCCGAAAGCCTTTGCGGACATAACTTTGTAGTTATCTTTCAACAACTGCATCGCTAAAAGTGCTATATCGACTGATGACCGCTTCTTACGTTTTTTCACCAAGAAATCAGCTCTATTGAGCACAATATCTCTTAAATCAGGCTCCGCCACTTTATAATCGCCAAGAACATCTCCGTAAGTGACAACTAAATATTCTTTTGCTTCTTTAATATGCTGCAAACGACGCAAAAACTTTTTGCTAACCGACACGTTTTCCATGTACAGGTTTCGTAAGTTAACCGCGGAAGATTGTAACGTAAAAATTACTTTAAACGAATCATTTAAGGTCATAGGGTTGAAAGATAAATCAAGGGTGATCAAATTTTTTGCAGTATGGAGGCTTTCAGCAATAATGTTGATCGTTTCGTCGGACAATCTATTGTTGCTGAGGTCTAGCTTTTTAATATTAGGTGCTGTCAAAACAGATTTAATAGCATTTCCAATGCGGACACCACAAAGTGCGTTCCATGCTAAATTTAACTCTTCAAGCAAATGACTTTCACTCATTTGAAAAAGAAGGTGAAATAAACCATGAGGAAATATAGAAAACTTATTCCAAGATAAATCTAAATGTGTAAATTTGTTGCTAGTTTCTAGTGCTTCTGTCAAAGAATTAGCAGCATGTCCGGTCAGGTCATTGTAGCTTAAGTTCAAACGCGGAACATCGAGACCACGCACAATGCTTTCGGCGAGATATTTTATACCCTCATCACCTATTTGGTTCTTGCTCAGATTGAGAACTCGAAGAGAACGGTTCAGCGGTAGCCCGAACATCAGTTGCTTTACACCACTAGGTCCTATTCGACAACCAGTCAAATTGAGATCTTTTAACACCGAATTAGTAACTAACATCTCGCTCAAATGATAGCAGGCGTCATCGTTGAGAAAATTATCAGTAAGGTCCAGAGCTGTGACGTTTCTATTGTGTTCTAGTGCTTTTGCCATCGCTTTCACCCCGTTAGGATTAACATTATAATACCTTAAATCAATCACTTCCTTGATTAGTCCTTCATGAAAAGATTTGACTGGGCACTGATTCATTTCCTTGCATATTGCTAAGTATAACTTCTGACCGTCATTAGGATATACCACTTTGTCTTCTGGATCTAATATAGCTTCTTTAATCCCAGGATCAAGGACAGCCGGGTAGTTATAAAATGGATGTCTGATGACTGAACTTGCAGACATTGCAACATATTTGGTGCATATTTCTCCACTACCTGGTTCGTATAGCCCTTCAGCATATAACTTTCTCTTTACATTTTCTTCCGGAAGCTCTTCAACTAAAGAAGACCATTCGCTCATGGACACCTCTTCAGAATCTGCTTCATCTTGACATTTATAAATAACCTGCGTCGTTTCAGCTTTCAGCTCATCGGTGCTTTCTTCTGAAGACATTATAAAAATCTTTGTTTAAAAAAAATATAAAAAAAATGTTTATAAATAAAAGGTTTAACAAAATTCCGCTGAAAAAACTAAGTCCGACATCGCACAAAAATGTCAATGACAATTTTGACATTTAAAGATGTTTTAAGCCACGAAAAAGTATTAATTACTTTTCCGTAAATGCATAATCAAAAGTGATGAAAAAATTAAAGTACAGATAAAGTAGATAAAACCGTTTTTTGTCTAATTTATAAAAATATTACCGTAAGATAAGGTAATTCTGTGTTGTACATGCGTTTTACAAATAGATAACTTTTTTAAAAATTTAAATTGTTTATAGTGCTAATCTTTGCACTTAAGATGGAACATTAAAATATGTAGAAAAAGTGCGAAAAGATTGTCGCCACGTCTTCGGCATTCGCGGCCTGACGCTCTAGCCACTGAGCTAAACGGCTGATTGCAACACCGACGAAAATCTTAACGTCTTTTTCTACATTGTTTCTTAGCATTTGAAGCAATGCTTGGTGCATCTACATATTTTAATATTCAATCTTAAGTGCAAAGATTAGCACTATAAACAATTTAAATTTCTAAAAAAGCAATGGCGACATCTCTTGTTCGAATTATCGTTGTAAAACGATATTCGAAACTGTTGTGCAGTTTTTGGGACGTTATGTTGACAATGACAAAGATTCGACCGTTCTAACGTAAGAGTATTATTTATCGAATAACCAATAGTGCATTAACTGTTTCCTCAACAACGTTTCCGGGCAAATTCATCAGGCAAATTTTGCACTTAACGACCGGGATATGTTTAAACAACTCTGATTATCCGACCCTTATCTCTTTTAATTTTATTAATTACGCCCTACTTTCCCTATTACAGTAGAAAGGACTTAATAACAACGTTACCGCGAAATGAATATTAAAAGGGAGGATTAGGCAGGTCCGTGAACATACAACGGTCCATGTTGGGCGATAAATGGCATATGCGCGATGATTAAGGCGCGGGATTGCCATATTTTAATTGAAGAAGTGACCGCCTTGCATGCAATTACGTAGATAAACCTGCGCCTCGCAATAACTCAGTTTAGACTCGTTTCTTGTTCAACTTTTAAGAACCCATTTACTGCTCGGATAGTTCGATTAATTTATTTTGACATCTTTTTAATAGATATGAGAAATTTTCAATTTTTTAATTATTTATACATTTATCTTTTTGATCATGATCGATCTGTCAGTTGTTGAAGGCTTTATGAGGTTGATAAAGTGACAGTACTAATAATAAATCCTTCATTAATAATAAAATGTAAAGCTTTACTCCATATTTCGTTTAGTTTTTGCCGAAATAAATTATTTATTTTGTCTAGTTTAAAAAGTATTTCATTATCATATAGAGCATTTCAGTAAGATAAAACGAGTAAAATTACAATCTAAGTTATATACACATTGCCTAATCAAAAGGATATTAAGGTTTAAGTTTCGCGGAACGAATCGGCAAATAATACACCTATCAATCCGTTGTGGGAAAATATTTACAAGGTGTGCTTGGTATTCGAACTGGCGACCTTCAATTTAGCAACTACGCTCGGACACTAGGTCGAATGGCCCCTATAGCGTTGCAAGCTAAATGAAGACACAAGTAATCGGCAAAGTGTTAAAAACAACAGGTTAAGTAAGTAACAGAGGTCTCGTATACATATATTCTTCGGAAAACCTAAAAAACTGTCTTAACTCTTATCCCACCGCGTTAGTTTTTTATTTTAATAAAGACAACTTAAATATTATATCTAATGTCGTAAGTTTTAATTAGGAAACTTATTTAAATCTCACCGATGGATAATGAATCCATTTCCGTCGAGTAATGACAGCGGCGTACGCGATACCGAGGTTCCAATACAAAACAATGGCTTGTAGTCAATTAGCAACAAAAGCCGATAGCCGAATACGGCTCAAATGGCACTTGCACACCTTTTGTTTTTAATTATGCGTATTTTTATTTCATTTGTTCAACATAATTACTTCAACACTTCATTCACTGGGCTATGCCCGCCAACTTTCAAATCCGTAAAGAATTTCGGAAAATGCGCTCAATGACTGCATATATCATGATATGTTTAATAAACAAATTAATAAAAAATATAGTAAATAACATCTGTGGATAACTTACTTCGTTTGCCATAAAGACGTTTGGACCTAAAAATTGTAATGTTCTTCCTTTTCCTAGCCCACTTGTTCGCTTTGATGAATCCCTTATCGCCCTATTGCTTAGCAACTTCAATAACAATTTTATAGCCTAGTAAGCCTAGTAAGTTATTATACAGCCCACCAAACTGCAAGACCACTTAATGCAGAGAAAACCAAACAATTTATGCGTCTGTTGCTATTCGCGCGAATGATTTATATTCGCTGGCTGAAAACATAAATTACCGTGTATCTATGCTCTCTGCTATGTAGGTTATCTGTGCACGGGACGTCTGGAAATAGCTTTCGTCTCGCAGGGCGGGGCGTTCTAGTGAAAGTTCCGCCGGAGGGCACGGAAATGGGCCCGAGCCGGTGTACCGCGGAGGCGTAATTGCTGTACAAACACAAAAGCGCCAGCTCGACCGAAATCGCCGGTTATCGGTAACCGCTGAGTGCGTTTTAGATTAGACGATTTGAAGAGTTCTTAAATTGCTCATATTCTCTATTTGTGATTGTGATTTTTTATCAAGCGCATTTTGTAATTTATACAACTCTATAATACATGTAAACATCAACAGTCCATACAGATTTATAAGCAAAAATCCTGCAACACCTTTCGTAGAGACGTAAACATATATAGTACCAGCTAAATTGTAGTTCAAGAAAGTTATTTAATAACGTAAAATATAGCTCATTATAATTTTGCTTAGAGTTAGATAGATATCTGTTGCGAGCAGGACGTATATTATAATTTAACGGCTTCAAGTAAAATGGATCGCAATGTACGCCAATACGGAACCAATTTTGCCTAAATAAGGGGCTTCTAATAACTGGGGTCGTTTCAGACTTATTGAGTCCTCTGAGTCGTTCGGCTGCCATAGCTAAGCGTGGTCATTGTAGGAATGCGGGTGATAAGAGATTTCTGTCGAAACATAATTGTTTCGATTTGGGCGCGGTGCCGCGCAATAAGATTGATTACGATTGCATTGTTCACGATGCAAACTTTGGCACAGGCTCAGATCGGATCGACGCGACGGGCGGCTTTTGTGATTTTTCAATATGCGAACGTTTGTCTAAGCTTTGGTGTTAAATGGAAGTGAATATGAGATAAGATTTGGATTTGAAGTTTACAGACGTAACGGTGGATCATTGATGAAAAGGAATTAGCTAACAATGTTCTGTGATTAATATGTGTAAGTAATAAATAACATCATACACAATTTTCATTTCAAATTATTTCCATTGCTTGGAGCACCACATTGTGTACTCATAAAGTTTCTTTTAAAAAATTCAACATAATAAATTGGACAGATTTTACTGAGTTTCTGTTTAGTAGAAAGCAGGGAGGTGGTAGCCTAATGAAAGGTACTTCTTGTTCATTAATTGTATTCGAAACAGTTTAGTTCTACCTACTTCAATTTCGTTAGATTTATAATGCCGATCAAAGGATGAAACGAATAATTACAAAAACAAAATTCATTCATGTTCTTATTTTCAAGGAATAATACGAATACCTAATGCAATTGGATATGAAAATACGACATGACTGACGTTGATTCGTATGAGGGTTGTTACAACAATTGACGAAAGTAAACTCTTTCAGGAGCCCTCCCAATGCAACGAACGGTGTTCGGAGCTCAAAACAACCGCAGCCAACAAAACGCAGGCCGACTATAATTGCTTACTCGATCTCACCGACGGCGGCGCGTGCGCACGTTTCGACGTAAGAACGCCGTGCAGCCTTAAAAGGGGTCGAGCCCGAAAAACACAGATATCCATGAATAAAAATACCGAACCGAAATCAAGATGGCGTCGATTAGGACCCGACTCACATCGGCTTTGCGTATTTGAATTCGCGAACCTTACCAAAGAAACAGGCAAAGCCTCGACCGTGTTTGTGACTTGTCGGTGCTTTTATTTTGCCTTGTCAGATGTTGTGTTTGTTAGGGTTTAACTTGAATGGCTCAGAGTATTGGGAACCGATGTTAATTCGTAACGTAAGCAACAAAACAAACATGAACTCTAATGTTATTTTTGTGACAGCCAGCGCAAGTTAAAACCAAGTTATTGAGTCCTTAAAGCTACCTGAAGCGAGTGCAGAATAAACGTAAGCAATCCAAACTCTAACCCTGTGCCTCCAGACATAATCAATGTTCTTAGCCTGATATACATAGATGAAGCTTAGCCAAGTCGTTATGACTCGTATTTCATCATACATTTAAATATAATCATCATAGTCGGAACGTCCACTGCTGAACAAACGTCTTCCTTTTCGAACGCCGCAACAAACTACACTACCATTAGCATCCACCGGTTGCCAGCGACTCTTGCGATGTGCGATCCACCTAGTGGGAGGCCTTATTTAAATAAGAGCGGAGCAACTCAGGAACTTTTGAGCAAGGGTCTCGGAGCTAATCCAATAAGCTCTCGACGCGAGTTCGCCGACGCCCACGCGCTTACCGAACCGGCAGCGTTGTGATTTACCACGTCGCGATCAGTTCGTGATCTAACCAACGACGGCGACGGGCTTTGCATATGGAATAGGGTGCTGTGGCAGGGTGTGGCGGATAGTCACTCGCGATCTCGGCTCAGATCTTCGCCACGATATGCAACCGATGTCTGCGTTTCCGTTCGGCCATCGGTTACTTGCAACTTCGCGAAGCTTCCCTTAAGGAATATGCATAAAAAGAGTACGCATATGCATAAATAGAGTACGCATATGAATAAATAGGGTATAAATAGGGTACAGATGATAAGGAAGAAACACAGAACAAATTTTAGTAAGACTTTTCGCTGTTCGTTTTTGTGGTCTGGCAACCCGGAAAGAT